TAATGTGAAATGATGGCTTCAGCTGCATGATAGATTCCACACAGACTCCCATGAGTGGGTTCAGAAAGCAGAATAACCCATGGTCATGGGCTGAGTATGGGTTGTTACTGAACTGTGGGCAATCATGTTGTCTGAACCTAGCCATGCTAACAAAATCTGGTTTGTTAACCACAAACAGCCCTGTAACGGTGAGGCAACACACCAACACTGACACTACTGGGAGTCCCCCACCTCCCGGTAGTCTGTAGGGCCAGGAAAACCCAATCCCTGCCCTTAGCAAGCGAAACAGCACTGGACCAGCACACAGTGACCCAAGTCTTGGGGGAAAGGAACTTCATTAAACTACAAACCACATGCCATCCAAACAGAAAAATACAACAACTTCAACTACACAAGGGTAAAGAGAAGGGAAAAGGAAGGGGGAAGAGGATAGCAGCTTTTAGTCAATAGAATACAATCACTAATGTTCATCCCCCCTTAGGTCATTTGACCACCCCAGACTCTAAAACAGCAAACACTAGCTAGTCTAAAACCTAGTAACTCACACAGTACTTAACCAGTCGTATCAAGAGTAGCAGTCCAGGGGCTCGAGCATCTGGCAGCAGGCGTGCCTCCTTCTACCCCAGAAGTGCGCCCAGCCTGGTCTCCAAGCCCTCCTTTTATTCCCTCCCTGAGCAATCAGAATCCTTTGTTCTCTGGGGTGACATCAACAAATCTAAACTCTTTGCCCTCTAAGGAGTCACTAGGCAAACAGAACTGTTTGATCCATGGGTGTCATCTCTGGTATCTCCAACTGGGATCCTTCCCTGGGAAGGTTGTGACTATCCTTGAAAATCTCCAGACCTTCAGTTGTTTTCCTCCCTTGGCCCAACCCAAGCACCTGCTCATCCTTGAAGCAGCCGCCTGTGCCTGGTCGGCTGGCTACAGCCCTTAAACCTTGCTTCTCCCTCTGTGGCTTAAGGCCTTTCTCGTTATGAGCACAAGAGAAACCATGTGTCTTGTTGGGTTGTGACCTATGGTTTGTCCGTGGTTAACAATTTGTTTGTGTGGCTGGGCTGAGACATGATAACGCATAGTTCAGTGACAACCTATATGCAACCCTCAAGTATGAGTTATTGTGTTGTCTCAACCTAGCCCTGTTTCAGCAAACAGTGAAATCTAGGGCTTAGGTTCTGACATACATCCAGTTTCAAGGCAATGGTGAAGCTCAAACTAACCACAGTGTAGGACACCATACAATACATCACACATTGGCCCCGGGGTTAATTTTGGCAGGAATTGAACTCAATGAGCTGCACAAGCAGCATCCCTGCCAAGTCCTGTTTGATGGTTGCCCAACGAGTGTTCCTTTTCCACATCACGTGCAATCCTTCATGCTGCTGCACCTAATACAGAAGAAGGTTGCGGTTGTACAACCTTCCTTCTGCTCGTATTTGCAGACTTCCTCTTGGCTTGGCTTGCTTTGCAAGACTGTGAATGCTAGAACAATAGATTGCAGTGAGGTTTGGCCAAACCCTGGGTGACTTCTTGGACTTTGTGCTATCTTTGCTGACTTGCAGTGTGAATATTATCTGTGCCTGTATTATAGTGTTTTTGAGTAATCTCCAAGCACTTGGAAGAGAGTTAAGTTTACTGAAGGCCCTCTTCAACTTCTTCTTCACCAGTTTCCTCATTTTTGAAAAGTTTCCTCTGTTGAAGTTTCCTCTTTTGATTACTAGACCTCTTTAGCAATCCTCCACCTAACCGCATATTAAATCTGATAGCACTGTGGTCACGGTTTCCATTCCATTCACAACACTGACATTCCAAACGATGTCCTGGGCAATCTCACTTAAGATTAAATCCAGGACTGCCTCCCTTCTGCTTGATTCCATGACCAACTGCTCTGGGACACAGTCATTTAGGATATGAAGAAACTAATTCATTGTCAGAACTGGAACAAATAATAACACAGTCAGTGTTGAAGTCTCCCATTATTGCAGTACTGCACCTCTGTCGTGAAAGGGTTGTATAAACATTCAACTCTCCACAGAGCTATAAAACTAAAGTCCTTTAATGTTAATTGTCTACAAGATTTACGATACTATAGATAAGTTCCCTGATAGCAGTCCCTGCAGAGCAGATGTCAGTCCTATAATGGCTTTTCTTTCTGAGCCCACGTGGGATCATTCTCCCAGGTCACGCCTTTCCTCTCTCTTACGTTGTCTGCTTTGTATTTGTTCAAATCTGCGTAAAAGACGTCTGTTTTCAGCTTTTGAGAAATCTATGACACCTATAGTGTCTTCTGTTTCTGGCTCGGGGAGATCAGCGTCAGGAGGGGAGGAGGCAGTTTGGTCTGCCTCTTTCTCATGACTCTCTGTCTCTGATAAAGGTCCAGGCGT